GGAAGAGAGAGAGAGAGAGAGAGAGGGGAAAGAGAGAGTGGAAGAGGATATAAAGGATTATTTGAAACGTAAATATGCGGTAACCGAGAGCAAGGGGTGAGTCGGACGTAAATCGAAAGCGAGAGGAACGAATGGAACGAGGGGGAAAATTAAATAATACATAAAGACTGGGATTACGGGAATATCTCGTTTATGGGTGGTAGGACGGCGGAGGGAAGAGCAGCAGCGGAAACCGCTGCTTTTGAGAAAAGCGCAATTCTCTGCCGGATGCCGAGGGTTTGAAGAGCGTTGACGTTCAAGGGCGTTGTCGAGAATCAACTATTTACGCGGAAAAATGGAATTTCTCCGGTGAAATTGTACTTGCTGTGTTATTGTTACATGCGATAACAGCGATAATATTTATTTAACGAGTAGCACTAGCTTTGGTAAACAGGTAGACGACGAGAAGTAGCTCGTGGAGCGGTATACTTGATCCCACAAATATCCGCTTTAAATATTCAGGCTCGTTATTACATTATGCAGAATTATGCGCTCGCATAAAAGGACACGCGAAGCGTACTTTTAAAAAAATATTTAGCGACATTTTTAAAACATATTTTTCATTCTTCTATGTATGAAATAAACAATCTTTCGTCGAATAATTACGAATAATAATCGATTTAATTGCCAACAGGTTAATCAAAGAACGCATTTATATTTATCAAAATTCACGAACCCCTCGCACGAATCCATTAAAACGTATTGCTCCCACAGGTAGAAACGCGAGTAAACGATGGAGATGGACATCTAAACGATAAGGTTTCGTCTCATCTGGTTCGAGGAAGGGAAGGAACGTTTCGAAACCATTCCGACCGGTCCTCGTTTCGCCGCCTTTTCATCTTCGAGGATGGTGCGCACCTTTTGTCGCGTTTCTGCTCGCGCATAAGGACAGAGATGGTTTCCGCCCGCCCCGAGCGATCGAGAGCGGCACGAAGCGACGATACGAGGATGCGAAAGGTGTAATTGATGGGTTCGGCTGGTTTATGGGAGCGGCAGGGGCCATAGATGGTCGCG